GCGCTTCTGCAGCTGGTTGTCGACCTCCGCCTTCTCCGCCCGCCAGCACTGCTCCTCGGAGGGCAACAGGATTTGGCTCGGGCAAGCAGATTCGCACTTGCACACTGCCGTCTTGCTTCTGAGCAGCAGTGCTGCGTCGGATCAGTGTTGCGCCTTCCCGGGAATCGCGAGCCCAGCACGAACCATCCAAGGACGCACGCCGTGCACCTCAAACCCCCTCGCTTCTGAATTCGCTTGCCTGGAGGAGAAAATCAAAAACAAACTGTCGACGGTCCGCGCGGATTTCTTGAGACCACCCTCCCGGTGCGCGCGGAGCGCGCCAGGGGCGGCGCCAGGGGCGCCGCCGGAGGGGCCCAACGCCGATCCGCGAGATCCGCGCGCATCTCAGACGAATGATATTTGAGCAGATCTTTGTTCTCCGAGTGCCACCGACGCGCTGTAGAGAGGGGATCCACGCCATGGTAAGGGATGGGAGGGAGGGGTAGGATGTCAGATATGACGCGAGCGCACCTAGCTTGTCCTCCTCCCCCTCCCCCTCCTCCTCGTCCTCCTCCCCATCCTCCTCAGCCTCCTCCTCCTCCTCCTCCTCCTCCTCCTCCTCCTCCTCCTCCTCCTCCTCCTCTCCCGCTTCGCGCCGTGGGAGGCCCGATGCGCTCTTACGACAGGCTCGTGTCGTGTCGACCCAGGCGTTGGTTTCCCACACCGCGGGGATCCTTCCATCGCGAAGGATTGGGCGTTTCGGGAACGTCAGCTCGTTCAGCATCGACCGATTCTGGGTTGGCGGTGGCGTTCAGTGCTGAGCGCCACTGGCGGGGTCGCCGCCGGTCCGCACGACATGAACCTGGCGCACCAATCTGTCGGAAGAAGCAGGTGGAAACATGAAGTAGGAGGGCGTTGAAAAGAGATTGGGTTCCGTCCGCCCCCCTTGGAGGACGAAAAAGGTGAAACCACTGGGTCATTGAAGTAGGAAGGCGCTTAAAGCAGATTGGAACATGGGAACCCAAAGATACATACTTTCACCGACCGATGGGTACCGATATCCGCTTCCTCGCGTGGCCCCCAATGGCGAGGATGGCGAGGGGCAGCCCTTCGTCCCCCAAGCCCGCGAGGCCCCCAGCGCGCCGTGGTCTTCGCGCTCCGACGTGCAGCCCAGACGCTTCTGTCCTGGCCCCGCAGTGGCCGCGAGAGGAGGCCGCGAGCTCCACTCAGAGGGCACGGCACGGTTCGTGTCGTGACGACCCCGGCGCTGGGTCTTCTGACACCGCGTGGATCGCTCAGCCTTCCACGATCGGCGGCTTTTCGATCGCCCGATCGTTCCACACAGGCGCCCCCGCGCAGGGGGAGGAGGAGGAGGAGGAGGAGGAGGAGGAGGAGGAGGAGGAGGAGGAGGAGGAGGTAGGAGGAGGAGGAGGAGGAGGAGGAGGAGGAGGAGGAGGAGGAGGAGGAGGGCCGCTGGCGGCCTTCAACCCTCTGAGCGCCCGCGGCGGGAGCGCCGCCGGTCGGCACGGCGCGGAGCTGCCGCACGGCAGGAGCTCGGGCCCACGCCCCTCGGAGAGAGCACGGAGGCGAACGTGGACGAAGGGGCCCCGGGTCACAGAAACAAATAAACACAGATAACCAGATTCTCAATAGTTTCCCATGTTTTCTGGGTTTTTGTCTTCCCCCCCCCCCTTCCCGTGTTTTCCCAGATTTTCTGTGGAATCGACGATTGAATGTGTCCGTGTGTTTTTTCCCTCCTGAGTAGAGGAACCACGAAGCGGCAGAAACATAGAGCGCGTTTCTTTATGTTCGGCGATGACGGGCGTCATGGGGGGGGGGAAGGCGGGGGGGGGATGACGTGACGCCCCCCCCCGCCGTGTGGTTCCGGCACCACAGCCGCGCCCGCGAGCACGAGGCGACGAGCGACGAACGACGAGCGAAAACGACGACGCGAGCAGCATGTAAGTGGCGATCTGCCCATTGCGCCTGTGTACACCACAACGCTCGCGTGCACCACACCGCGCGTGTGCACCACAACGCCTGCGTACACCGCAACAGCCGCGTGCAACGCACCGCCTGCGTATACCACAATACTTGGGAGCACTACAGCGCTGGTGTACATACACCGCAGCAGCCATGTGCAACACAACGCCTGTGTACACTACAGTGCTTGCGTGCACCGCAGCGCCTGTGCACGCCACAGCGCCTGTCTACACCACAGCACCCGCGTGCAACGCAGCGCTGGTGTACACCACAGTGCCTGCGTGCATAGGACAGGTAGATGGAGCATGTACGTCAGGATCTGCTGCGAACAACTAAACGCCACGCCAGGAAAGTTCTGAGAATCGAATGCGACGTTTTTCCCTCCTCCCTCCTCCTCCACTTCCTCCTCCCTCCTCCTCCTGTTCCTCCTCCTCCTCCTCCTCCTCTTCCTCCTCCTCCTCCTCTTCCTCTTCCTCCTTCTTACCCCGTCGTGCGGCTTGGCGTTGCAACGCACGTGCGCATCTCACCGTGCACCGCAGAATGGTCGATTGAATCGGTCCACTTGGTTCTCCGACGGCCAGTTTAGCTGGAGCCTCCTGGACGCAAATGGGGGTTAGGGTGATGCGGGCGGACTCGGGGGGATTCGTAGATTCCAGCGGCGATTCCTTGTCCATGAGGATTTGTTTTCCAATGTTTTCCCTTGAATCCACACGCGCTCCATTTTGTCACAAGAATTCCTTCTGAAATTCTATACACAACAATGGTGCTGTGTTGCACACGGCTGATGTGTTGCACATAGGCGCCGTGGCGTACACAGGCACTGCAATGCACGCAGGCATTGTGGTGTACACTGGTGCTGTGTTGCGCACGGCTGATATGGTGTACGGAGGCGCTGTGGTGTACACAGGAGCTGCTGTGCCCGCAGGCGCGGTGGCACAAACTGACGCTGTGTTGCACGCGGCTGCTGTGGTGTACATCGGTGGTGTGGTGTACACAGGCGTTGTGGTGCACGCGGGCAGTGTGATGTACACAAGCGTTGTGGTGCATATCGCCACCTACATGTTCGTGCTACCCGTCCTCCGTCATTCCTAAGCATTCCCAGGCGCCGCCGGCGCGAAACGTGACGTCATCGACCCCTTCCCCCCCCAGATGATTGCCGTCATCGGCCCAGGACTTAAAAACAGGCTCCAGCCGCGTCCGCGCGCACGACGACGATGAGCGACAAGCGACGAACCACGAGCGACGACGACGGACGACGACGACGACGATGACGACGACGACGCCTGCGGACCAGACACCTATGCGGATTCCTACGCGGTCACTTACGCGGATCCCAATGCGCACGGCGGCAGTGCCCGGAGCGCACTGGGGGGGGGAGCGTTACGTCATAGGGGGGGGGGAGCGGGGGCCATGACGCCCGTCATGCCCCAAGCAATAAACAAACGGGCTCATAGCTTCTCGGTGGTCCGCGCGGACATCTTGGAATGGCGGTCGGATCGGTGCTGGACCCCACCAGGGGTGCCCGGCGCCGATTCAAGAAATCCGCGCGGACCTCCCAGCGAGTGTTTGTGGCGCTGTGTGCTCTTCCCTTCCCTCCGAGCTCCTGGTTCCTCATGGCCTCCTCCCTGCGGGCGATCTCCGCCTCCAGCTCGCGGGACTCGTCCTTCAGGGCTCTCGCGAGCTGCGCCTTCAGCGCCGTGCTCTTGGCCACCTCCTCTTTCTCGAGCGCCTGCTTCTCCATCAGCGCCTCGGCCTGCAGGTTGTGCTCCTTGGCAGAAGAAGAAGAAGAAGCAACAGCACACTTCATAAAACATAGACATTCGGCTTTCGCAAGTCCGTGCGGATTTCTAGGATCGGCGCTGGACCCGCCAGGGGAGGCGCCGGAGGCGCTGCCAGGCGGTCCAGCGCCGATCCGAGAGATCTGAGCGGACCTCCAGAAGACCATGCCTACAGTCGGACTTAGGCCAGAAGAACATCCCTCAAGCACATCACATCAGTTCCTCCGTCGGCCAAAACAAACAAGACATCCAACCCGAACCGACCTCGATCTTATACCTCCACCAGACTGGATTCCATTGTTCCTTCTCCAGCTCCTGCGCGACCTGCTCCTCCTTGGCCCTGAGAGCGGCGGCTTCCCCCCTGCTCTCGACGCACTGCTCCTCCAGCCCCTGCACCCGCAGCCGCAGCGCCGCCCGCTGCTCGCCGTGCTCGGCGTCCAGGGCGGCCTGCTCCTCTGGGGCGCGAAATGATGGGGGGGCGATCCTCCTCCTCCTCCTCCTCCTCCTCCTCCTCCTCCTCCTCCTCCTCATCCTCCTGCCCCCTCCTCCTCATCCTCCTCCTCCTCCTCCTCCTCCTCCTCCTTCTCCTGCTCCTCCTCCTCCTCCTCCTCCTGCTGCTTCTCCTCCTCCTCCTCCTCTTCCTCCTCCTCCTCCTCCTCCTCCTCCTCCTCCTCCTCCTCCGTGCGGGAGGGGGGCTAAAAGTGCCCTTTTCGGGTCCGACGGGCCCCCTTTCTGGGCCCGAAAGGTCCCCTTTGGGGGCCCTGACGGGCCCCTTTCTGCAGCCCTCGCTGCCCCCTCGTAGGAAGAGGAGGAGCAGGAGGCGGAGGAGGCGGAGGAGGAGGAGGCGGAGGAGGCGGAGGAGCCGGAGGAGGAGGAGGCGGAGGAGGAGGAGATTTACCGCCCCCCCATTTATCGCTTCCTCAGCTCCTCCTGCAGCCGCCCGCGCCGGGCCAGCGAGGCCTCGAACTCCTCCCTGACGCCGCGCAGCTGCGCCTCGATGGCCTTGGCCTGCTGCGACTTCGCCGTCAGCGTGCGGTGCCGCTCCGCCGCCGCCGCCGCCTCGCTGGACGCGTGCCGCACGGCCGCCTCGAGGTCCGAGGCGGTGAGCTCAAGCTCGGACAGCTCCTGCTCGTCGCGGGCGGCGTGCCGCCGCAGCTCGTCGCCTGCAGCGGCCAGGCGCTGCTGCTCCTGGCGCAGGGAGGCCAGGCGGCCCAGCGAGCCGCCGATGTCGACCACTGCGTCGGCCAGGCGGTCGGCCACGCTCAACGCTTCGGCGCTCAGCCGCTCCTGCCGCGCCTCCTCCTTCTCCCAATGCCGCAGCACCACCTCTGCGCGCTCGCAGCCGGCCTCCGCGGCCGCCAGGCGGCGCTGCGCGGCGGCGACGAGGCTGGCCCCCGCGGCGGCCCCCGAGGCCGCAGGCTCGCACGGCAGGTCCTCGAGCTCTGCGCGCAGGAGCTGGACCTCGTCCTGCGCGCTCAGGCCGCACGGCGCACCGAGGGGCACGGCCGCGACGTGGCAGTGCTCCTGCAGCGCCCGGGCGTCCTGCAGCTGGCTCCGGAGCACCCTCAGCCGGACCTGAAGCTCCTCGAGCTCCGAGCCCCTCTCCGCGGCTGCGGCGCGGACGGCCGCGCCCGCGGCCAGGCGCTGACGCGCGGCCGCGAGCTCCGAGCGGCACTCCTCGAGGTGCGAGGCCGAGGATGCGCGGAGGTCGTCCGGCCCGGTGTCGCCGAGCATGGCGTCGCACGGAGGCACCGCCTCCGCCGCGACTGGCCGCCACCCGAAGCCCGCGCGGGCCTCGGGCCCCGAGGCGACGGGCTCGGCCGTCCGGGGGCGCAGCGCCGCGGCAGCACCCACCCGGGCGGCCACCTCCCGGCGCGTCTTCGCGCTCGCCGTGGCCTGGGCCTCTGCGGCCGCTCGGCTCTTCCGCTCTGCCTCGGGTGAGGTCGGGCACGGCCTCCTACAGGCGGAGCTTGGACGAGATACGCAGAGAGCCGCCCAAACAAGATTACGCAAGCATTGGTAGGCACAAAGAGTCGAGGCATCGTCCCCAGACTATCATGCTTGACTGCTTTGGAACACTCCTCCTGCAGAGGGACATGCCCGACTTGAGCCTCGAGGCGCTCCACGAAGGCCTCCTGGCGACTCTCCTTCGAGTAGGGGCCGACCGTCCCGACTTTCCTCTAGCCCTATCACGGCATGTTCTCAGAAACCCACACATGCTCTAAGAACAGGAGCCATGTCCTCAGAACCGGAACCAGTGCGCAAAAGCAAGACAGTCTCGGCCAACCAACATGTTCTACAAACACTTCGTGTAGACCCCAAGCGATTCTTAGAACATTCTTCTGGAGGTCGGAAAAAGGAGGTCGCAGAAAGGGGTATGGTGCCAATCGTGGAAATGGCGGTGCTACCTGCGACAGATCACATCGCCAAAGTCCCCTTTTTGCCTAAACTTAGCACCACACCCCTTTATACCATACCCCTCTCCTGTCTCCAGAATTCTTCGGTGGGCCCATCTTGCCGTCGCTCGGACGTCCATGTCCCGTGCGCTCTCTGCGGTTCCGTGCGTCTTCTCTTCGCTCGATGATCCAGGATGTTCCTCCAGGGTCCTCGCTGAGGAAAAAATGCACTCGGGAGCGGCCAAGAGGGGGATGTCCTAGAGGGGGGGGTGCAAATCATGGCCGGCGGCATGTGCGCGGCCCAGCGGGGGGGCCAGGGACGTGATGAAATAAGAAGAAGTGCCATGAAATCTGGGGAGATATCCTGGCCCCCGCCATGATACCCCCCCCCTAGTCATCCCCCCCCCCCTTTTCCGCCCCCGAAGTACACACGTCCGAGCGGCGCCATGGCTACAGGCGAGCCGGGACGCTCCGCCGCCGCGCGACTCCTCCGCCGCGCGCCGCGCCCGCAGCTCGGCGGCGCACCGCTGCAGCTCTGCTCGGCCGCTGCCGCGGCCCGCTGCGACGGCCGCGGCCGCCCTCGGCGCCGCGCCCCCGGGGGCCGCCGCGGGGGCCCCCGCGGGGGCGCCGCTGGGGGCGGCGCCGACCCGGACCGGCTCCAGGAACCTCGTCTGGCGTTGGGGATGCCATGGCAAGGGATGCTCTAACAATCCTACCATTAAATTCAAGATGTGCTCAAGATGTGAAGACCATGTTCCAAACGCGTCTCGAACAGGTTTGTTTTACAACTTTAAAGACATCTTTTAGACATCTGGAAACGATTTGGCAGCATGCTTCCTCTCCATTGATCGTCCGCCACAACTCTGGCGGCGAGCAAGGGGCGGGCAACTTTGAGGCTCGAGGTTCGAGGTCGTGGGACGTCCTCAAAAGTTCTCGGCGGTGTCTAGCCTCGGGATGGTCGCCAACAGCTGCGCTCCTGGGGTGCCCGGATCGTCCCGAACGGCCGCTGGAGGCACGAGTTAGTTATGACCCCAAAACCGCATTCGGCGGCGCGCCCAGGGAGTAAGTGAGAAGAAGAAGGCCTTCTCAGAAGGTGGCGGGACTTCTCAGAAGGCCTCGCGCATTCGGAGAAGTTTTTTTGTCTTCGGGGAAGGCCTGGAAAACTTCTCAGCAGAAGGCCGGGGGACGCCCGAGCCTTCTGAGAAGGCCTTCTCGTGGGGGAGCCGCCAGATACCGCGGGTTCGTGTCGTGTCGACCCGGGCGTTGGTTCCTGACACCGCGGGGATCGTTCCACCTTGGACGAGCGGGCGTTTCCGAAACGTCAGCTCGGTCAACGACTCGAGGACCTTCTGACCCGGGTAAATCCAGACCAGGGTAAGTCGGGCCTTGCATAATCCTGCAAGATCCTTTAAGATCATGCACCCAAACCCGAGTTAATGCGAAGGATCCTGCAAGATCCTGCAGGATCCTGCACCCAGGCCCGGGCCAATGCGACCCTGGCCCTGCAGGATCCTGCAAGATCGGGCGCTCTGACCCCCGTTTGCATTGACTCCCGTCTCGAGGCTCCCGAATCGTCGAACTCTGGGTCGCCGCTGGTCGACACGACGCGAACCTATACCATACCGATGCCGCTGCTCCGCGGACCTCTCAAGGGGGGCGTGTCTGCACCAGGAGCGCGGGGCGAATATCATCCAGCCGTGGCCCTCCTCCTCCTCCTCCTCCTCCTCCTCCTCTTCCTCCTCCTCCTCCTCCTCCTCCTCCTCCTCTTCCTCCTCCTCCTCCTCCTCCTCCTCCTCTCCTCCTCCTCCTGCTCCTCCCACTCCTCCCCCTCCGCCTCCCCCTCCTCCCCCTCCGCCTCCCCCTCCTCCTCCTCCTGACACGAACCTGCCGCCTTCCAAAACCCCTGCCGTCGTGTACTTTATATAACCTGGATCCCTGGGTTTCTAGACTCCTTCCCCAAGAATCGTTTCTAGTATCGAGTCGTGTGTCGACACTCCCAGAGCTCGGCGCGGGCCCCTGGAAGCCGAACATAGCAACAAAAACTCCCGTCGTGATTTTCCATGGCCCGAGTGCGGTGGCAACTCATGGGAGCCTCCCGTACCATCTTGCCGGCTCTTGCGAATCGACGCTGGTCGACGCAAAATCAACGCTAACCGAAGCTAACCGACGCTAGATCGGCGCTATCCCATCGACCCCCAGACGATAATCGACGCTAGTCGACGCTCAGGACCGAATATCACGAGGGTGCACAAGGCTCCCAGGATTTGCTACCGAACCCGAGGGGGTCTGGATTTTTGATGTTGCAGCCTACTTTAGCCCTGATCGCCGGGAAGAATTTCGAGCACCACGAAAGTGCCGAAGCTGGAGGATTTCCCCGGTGTCGGGCTCGGGGGGCCCGTACTCGTTCGACGCCGCCTCGATACGTCTCTGGGTGCTCGAAACGATGTCTGGGATGTGGTCCTCACACGATGGGAGGAGCATAAGCTGAGGGATGAGAAAACGACCCCACCCTGGATTACAAGTGCGTGGTCTGTAAACTTCCGGGGGCCCCCCAGAGCCTAGAGCCGCCAGGACGCGGCACACCACGCAGGGTTTACCCTGTCAGCCAACAGGAGGTTCAGAGCACAGCGCCTCGTAAACCAGGGTAGGGGCGTTTCTTTCTGCCCTTGAATAAGTCTGGAGCTTGTCCCCCTGCGGACCTCTCGACCCTATGTCTGGGATGTCTGGGATGTGGTCCTCACACGGTGGGAGCAGAAGAAGTCTGGATCTTCGCCTCCTGCGACCTCTCGACCCTCCTGGCGTCGTGCTGCTCCTGCAGCTCCTCGAGCCTGCCCCGCAGGCGCGGCTGCCGCTCCAGCAGCCCCGCGCAGCTCGACGCCAGGCTGGCCAGCAACCCCTGCTCGTCGGCGCCGGGCCTGGGGGGCAGAAGCGCCACCCTCCTCTGGGGGGCAACATATTCAGCAGCAAATGTTTTAATGTTATTCATGATAACTTCTTTTCCTTTTGGGAAGTTTTCCCGTGGCCTAGGGGCATGAAGAGGACAAAGGAGGTGGAGCAGGAGGAAGAAGAGGAGGAGGAGTGGAGAAAAGGAATGGAGCAACGAGAGCGGTTCCTCTTCAAACCCTTCGAGGGCCGAAAGCGCCTAACCCACGTCCAGTCTGGAGCTAAGCTAAGCTAAGGGGGAGGGGGGGGGGACATCGATCTGGAATCGGCGATACATCGACGACAGGTCGGCGATAAGCCCCCGATGGCGAATCCGCAGATTCCTTAGCGGGCCGAGAGATCGGGCCCCCTATCGGCGATCACTGGGCGATTCGGGATCGATGCGCTCCAATTGAACGTCGCCCCTGGTCCTCGCAGGCGCTGCCCTGCAAAGGACGCTGCCGGGGAAGGAATCGAACGGGGCCGCGCTGCCCAACGAACGCCCAGGGCTGTCCGGTGAGCGCCAACACCAGCATGGTGCTGGCGCTCACCGGACAGCCCCGCGTGGTGCTCACCGTGGGGGCAACGACGATGCTCGCCAGGGGGGTAGCGTGATGCTCCACCGTGGTGCACCACGGTGTTGAGCAGGGACCGACCGTCCCAGCATTCCTATATGCCTACCACGAAAGGTTCTTAGAACCCCAAAATGTGCTAACTAAAACAATGTGTTCTTAGAACACCAATCCAATGCGTTAAAGCAAGAAAGTCTCAGCCAGAAATGTTCTACGAACATTTCGTGCAGACCCCGAGAGGTTCTCAGAACATTCTCTGGTGGGCCTATATAGGCGAGCCAGGACGCTTTGCAACTGCTTGAGCGGTGAGCACAACGAGCAACTCGAGTGACACGATCACGCGAGCACCCCGACCCCGTGGTCCACGGGG